CTTTTAAACCAATACTAAGTAACATTTCAACCTTCAAAATTAAAACATTTTCATAACTTTTGTAATTATACCTCGACTTACTTTGAAGAGGATGGCAGTAACCCTGCCACATAAAAAAACTAGAACTATGCAGACTGCTTTACAGCACATGTCACTTTCCCCATTTGTTATAAAGAAGTAAGTCGATATGACAAAGGTTCCCAGAGGGAGTGTATATTTATGCAAATTGTGAAGGCTTGATATTCAGGCAATGTAACACCTCCCTGTTGCGATGCTTATGTTTATTTACTGTGAAATTATAAAACATATTTATCTGTTTCAAGGCTCTAGACACATTGCACATCAATCCCTAACAAGGTGGAGGGAGTGGGGTAACAGTGCAGAAACATGGTACAAAACCAAAGTTAAACTGTTCTCATTTTCAACGTCATCTGACATTGTTTCACCACAGCTATATTTAGTACCTTATTGCTATTCATCTTTCAAACAGCCATTAAAAATACAAATGTAGTTCAATTCAACTGCAGGCGACCGGGCGATTAGGATTTTACCTCTCTGGTCCTCATGGGAAATGTTGTCTTCCTTCAGGCAAAACAATACAGCTTTTGTCCACTGGGGGGAGCCCAGATCCACCAAAACTGAAAGTTTTTAGAAAGGTTTCAGTAATCCTAGTTGTGCTGAAGCTACGCTTAAGCCTTTGAAATAATTACCTTTTCTATATTTTAAATATTTATAAAACCCTGGCCGTGTTCGAACGTCCGCCCTAATCAATATAAAGTGGTTACGCCATTTTAAATGAGTGTCCGAACGTCCAGTGGGTGAACAAGTGGACTCAAATTTTCCCATAATTCACCATAAAAAGTAGTGCCCATCCATTGTCACTAGACGATATATCCCTGAATGCTTTGCGAGAGCTCTCCTCCCAAGGCATCATGGGATTTGTTGAGACAGCAGCCTGCTGTCGGTTAGTGTTAGCGGCGAAAAATAACAAAGATGGCGCAGGGAGGGGGAGTTACGTGATCGAAGGGGAGCAAAAATAGTGATCATCTGTCCGAATGGTCAGTTAACTGAGTTCACTATAAAGTCTGCTATATACAGTAGTCCCCGCTCTATATAGTGATTGAGGGATTTAGGGGTTAGAGCGGACGTTCGGACACAGCCCCTGTGGTTGTTTTTTTATCATCTGGGTTTTACACATATTACAATATTTTGTTTCTAAAATGAATAAGCAAAGAATGCCCACTGCTGTTGTTTAATATTGTGTCTGTTTTCATAATAATATTTTCTAAACAGTTTTCAATGTTATTAAAATTCATAATAGAAGCTCAAAGATTGAAAAAATAAAACCAGTGAATGTTTCTTAACCCTATAATGCCAAATGTATCATATTTGATACATACGGTTTCTGAAATGTTTT